GAGTGGGACGGGGAATGAGTGGGTCGGGGGATGAGTGGGTCCAGGGAAGAGTGGGACGGGGGATGAGTGGAACGGGGGTGAGTGGGACGGGGGATGAATGGGATGGGGTGGGAATGCTCAAGATACATTGTATATATGTAAGAAATTGTCGAAGAATAAATAAAAATCTTTTTCTACTTTTTTCTATTTTCTATGTGTGTACACACGTGCACATAAACACATGCATGTGGAGGCCCAGGATGATTCTTCCACCTTATTCATTGAGGCAGGAAATATGAATCAAACCCAGAGCTGGTCGATATGGCTAGTCCTACTAACCAGCTTACTCTGGGGATCACCTGCCTCTGCCTTCTGGGGCTGAAATTATAGGCTACCTTTCCTACCTGTCATTTACATGATTTCTAGGGAGCCAAACTCTGGTCATCACACTTGCACAGCAAGCACTTAACTGCTGAGTCATCCCCACAAAAAATATTCTTTAAAACAAAGGTACAGAGCTGGAGAGATGGCTCAGCAGTTAAAGGAGCTCTGGCTGCTCTTACAGAGAACCCAGTTTGGTTCCTAGCACCCCTAGGGCAGCTAACGACCATCTGTAACTCCAGTTCTAGGGGATTTGATGCCTTCTTCTGGATGTGTACACTTACGTACATGCAGGCAAAACACTCATACACATAAGTAAGGGAAAGATCACTGCTCCCCAGGTGTAATTACTGAAAGAAATAACAGGTACCATTTGTGCTTCTGAAGGACAAAAATTATATCCCATTTTTCACATATATTAATTCCTATTTTGTTTTTAAGACAGACTATATAGTAAAGCTGACCTCAAACTCTCCATCCTCCAAACCATCATTAGCTCAGATTTGTTTCCATTTTAGAAATATGTAAACCAGTGTTGGGGAACTGACTCAGCTGGTAAAGTACTTGATATGCAAACACAAAGACCTGAGTTTGATTCTCAGAAGCCACACAAAAGCTGGTTGTGGTGGCATGCACTTGTAATCCCAGCACAGGGAGGTAGAGTCCCTGCTGGACAGCCAGCCTAGCCTACTTGGCAAGCTCCAAGTCAACGAGTAACTGTCTGAAAACACATTCCTCAGATGGCTTCTGAGGTATGACACCTAAGACTGACCTCTAACCTCTACAGCACACAGAGAGAGAGAAAGAGAGAGAGAGAGAGAGAGAGAGAGGGAGGAAACCAAGAGGGAGTTTATGTGAGTAATAATGACAAATGGTGGAGGCAGATTCCAAGTCAGCCTAGCTCTCTGGAGCTCTGGTGCTCAGTTCTTGTCTCTACACTCCCCTGTCCCAACACTGATTTACTTACTGTGTGACAAAAGTAATAGCCTTTCCAGAGCGCCCGGCTCTCGCTGTCCGCCCTACTCGATGGATGTAATCCTAGAACAAAAAGGGTAAACACATTCAAATCAGAAGTAATAGGATATGTATGCAAAATCAGCTGCCAACTTTTGAAAGAAATACATTTCTGTTGAAAGGTGGAGAAAATGGTCTGGGAAACTTGTTGAGACAAATTAACTTTATTTTTTTATATTTTTGTAGCACAAAATTGATCTAATGCTTGCTTTTTCTTATAGAAAGGCAAATCTACAACACATATCTACATGCTTAGAGCAACATCATACAAAGAAAAACAACACTGAACCTAGGGGTTTTACCATCCATCAGCTACAAAGTTACCTACACATCTCAACCTCTTCAAACTTTAGTTTCTATTTATAGACAGGGGCTAGAAATCCATGCCCAAACTTAAGAGTTATTGTGAAAGTAAATGAGACAGTACCTTATCTACCAGAGTTAAAAAAAGAGCCAAGAAGAACACAAGTTAAGCCAGGGCTGATCCTGCCACTCCCAGGAGACATTTGATAATGCCTGGAACATTTCTGGTTGTCACAACTGGAAGAGTGTGAGATGCTGTCGTCTGGCAGACGGGAGGAATGCTAGGCAAACTATATGCAAACAACACCTCCCCACAGAGAATTCTCCAGTCAAACATGTCAACAGTGTCAAGATTGAGAAACCCTGACACCAAGTAACAGAAGCTGGAGTTCCTAAAGAAACAAGATTGGCAAAAGTCACCATCAGCTGCACCTGCCCCTCAGGCTGCACATCCAGTGCCTCTTGGCTGCCTTAACTCCCCATTTATTAATGCTACATAGGCAGGCTTGTGCAAGTGGTGAGAATAAGTCAATGGAGAGCTCTCTCAGTTGTGTTGTTTTATTATGTGATTTTGAGACTGGGTCTCAGGTAGCCCAAGGTAGCCTTGAACTGTGTATGTAGCTGAGGATGACCTTGATCTACTGATCTTTCTGAGTACTGGGATTACAGGCTTGTGCCACCATGCCCAGTTTACGTGGTGCTATAGCCTAGACCCAGGGCTTCATGTATGCCAGGCAAGCACTCTACCAACTGAGCTACATCCCCACTCCTTTCTCAGCTTTTGATGAACTGAAAGAGGAAAAAACACTGTAACTAAGGAAAACCAGAAAACACTACTAAAGAAGCAAACTTTGGGGCTGGCAAGATGGCTCAGCAGGTAGTGTGACGCACTTGCTGCCAAGTCTGAAGCACCAAGTTCAGTCTCTGGAACCCAGTCCCGCAGTTGTATGCTGGGACATACGCTCACCCCCAAACAAAATAAACAAAAAGATATTCAGAAGGAAGAAAGGAAGGAAATTTGGAACAAGAAAGTCAAGGCAGCAACAGCACCCACCTTAGAATGAGTTGGGATGTCGAAGTTGACCACTACATCCACATGAGGTATGTCTAGACCTCTGCTGGCAACATCAGTTGCTAGAAGAATGGAACGAGCCTTGGCCTTAAACTTATTAAGGGAACCTAAGCGCTTACTCTGAGATGATGGAAAAGAAATAAGAATTTTAATTTTGGAAAATGACAGAATATTGGAATACAGACACAATACAACCAAGAAATAACATTTTTTGTTTGTTCTGTAACTCCAGCTCCAGGGGATCCAACCCCCTCTTCTGGCCTTCTGTCTTTTTGAGACAGGGTCTCTCTATAGCCCCAGCTGGTCTGAAACTCACTATGTAGACCAGACTGGCCTTAAACTCAGAGATCCACCTGTCTCTGCCTGGGATTAAAGGCATGCGCCACCACCCCCAGCTGAAATAACATTTTTTAAAAGATTTTCCCCTCTGAGCTTTCTCTTTCCGCCATCTTGGCTCCAATGGAGGTCAGTGAGACACTGATATTGAACTTTGGGGGCAGATAACTGGGGCCTGCTGGGAACAGGACTTCTAAAAGGCAAATACATCTGGAAAGCTGTGGTGGAAGGCCACTTTTGCTGGCTATAAGCAAGGTCTCCAGAACCAAAGAGAGCATACAGCTCTTCTTAAAAATAGAAGATGTTTATGCCTGAAAGGAAACTGAATTCTACTTAGGCAAGAGATGTGTTTATGTATAAAGCAAAAAACAACACAGTGACTCCTGGTGGCAAACCAAACCAAAAACCCTAATCTGGGGAAAGGTAGCCCGGGCCCATGGTTTGAAACAGTGGCATGGTTCGTGCCAGATTCTGAAGAAACCTTCCTGCAAAAGCCACTGGACACAGAATCATGTGATGTTGTGCTCCTCACAGATTTAAACTAACGGAAAGTAAATAAATAAAAGTAGGGGGAAAAAGTTTTTCCCTTCTTAGTCCAAGCTGGGATTTCCCAAGTCAAAACAAATATGAGGAGCTAGAGAGATGGCTTAGTGGTTAAGAGCCCCGGCTGCTCTTGTAGAGGACATGATTCAGTTCCCAGCACCTACATGGCAGCAAACAATCATCTGTAACTCCAGTTCCAGGGGATCCAACTCCCTCTTCTGGCCTCCACAGGCACCAGGCATGTACATGGTGCACTTACATACATGCAGGCAAAACATTCATACACATAGAAAAATAAAATTCTTTAATATGAAAGAAACAAAAATATTTAAGATTAAGTCACAAATGGTAATGTAAAACAAGAACAGTTTTCAACATGATACAGAGATAATTGTTTATTTATTAATGGCCAGAAAACCATCACTGCCACCAGCACTGAATGAATCAACTCAGCAACCGACAAACCAGACAACTGCCTAGGAAATGTTCTTTAGTGTGTGTGTTCATGTGTATGCATATATGTCCATGTGAGCATGTGGAGGTAAGCAGACAACCTCAGATGCTATTACTTAAGTGCTGCCAACCTTTTACTTGAGACAAGATCTCACTAACCTGGGCTTACTGAATAGGGTAGGCTGGCTAGCCAGCAAGCCCTAGGGATCCATCTGTCTTCCCATAACTGGGATTACATGTGTATGCCACCACACCCAGCTTTTGATGTGATTTCTGGGGTCAAACTCGGGCCCTCATGCTTGCATCTGACAAGCACTTTACCAACTGAGCCAACTCCCCAGCCCTGAGTCCCTCACTGTCCTAAAAGGAAGAAAGTTTACAGAGCAGTACTAGAACAGTCGTGCAATGGCATTCATGCATGCCCTCTGTCCTTGCTGCACAAATCCATTCTAGGGTTTACCTTCCTCATCCCACCAGTTCATGCCAAAGGACTCTTACCTGACTCATCTGTCCGTGGAGGGGGATGGCAGTGAATCCAAGATTCCGGAGTAGCAAAGCTGTTCTCTGAGTATTGTTGCAGGTGCTACAGAATATCATAAAGGAGTTTCCAGCCAATTCATTTAGAATATAAACCAGGTAGGTGTCCTAAATTACAAACCCAAAACAATGTATGTAACTGACCTAGAAGAAAGGGTTGGTGACCTGGCATACACATTCAGGAAAGACTAAGCCTGCATGAGCTTCTCAATTATCCAAACACCAGCAACAAGCTTTATACTTTCCCCCCTCCCCCAACCCCCAGTTTTTGGGAACAAGGTCTCAATATGTAGCCCAGGTTGGCCTTGAACCCCCAGCAATCCCCTTGCCTCAGCTGCCCAGGTTCTGAGACTACAGGTATGCACCACCACACCTGGCTAGCTTTGTACTTCTTATTTTTTTTTGAGACAGTCTCCTTGTAGCCCCAGCCGGCCTAGAACTTGCTATGTAGTCTAGACTGGCCTCGATCTCACACAGATATGCCCGCCTCTGCCTCATGCTGGGACTAAAACATGCACCACCACGCCCAGCTAGCTTTGCACTTCTTAACCAGCACTATGAATTCCGTGAACCAAGCACCCCAATGTGTCCGGAGTCGTACACAAGGAGATCTGTACTTAGCAACCAAGCAAGGAGCTTACAAAGTAGCCACATAAAAAGTAGACAAGTGAACCACTACCTTAAGGAGGGACTGGGACAGAATTATAATTACACTAGGACTCCTTACTTTGGTTAAATGCTGTGAATTCCTGGAATGTTCGCCCTGTCTGGAATGAACACAGCATGACACGCACTCTACAGCAAGAGAGGCTCCAACGTGCACCACAGCTCTCAGCTAGTCAAGAGCTGATACATTCTCGGATTTTTGGTGACGACAGGGAGCCAGGGAACGGCAGCAATGATCAAAGTCAACACTTACCTTGAACTTGGATGGAATAAAAAGATAATACTGCTGTAATTTCTCAACAGTCTGGTATTTAGAGGAAACAGCACATTTCACAGGGTTCTTCAGAGCTGCACGCTGAAGTTTTTGCACCTGAAGAAAATAAATCTAGAATAATGCACTAATTCCTGAATGCTCTGTTTTATTTTTGTTTTCACTATTGTTGTTTCAGTGCTAGGGATTAAAAACTCAGGGCCTCATGCACGCACATCAAGTGCTTTACTACCAACTATGTATCCCCAGTCCTCTTTTCACATTCTCTTTTGAGACAGAGTCCCACTAAGGTGCCACTAAGGGCTGGCCTTGAACTCGGCCTGTGGTACAAGGCAGCCCCTACACTTACAATCCTCCTGCCTCAGCCTTCCAAATAGCTAGCATGTCAGACCTACAGCACACCTGGCCTATCTATCAGTTCTTACAACGAGGAAAAGAAGTCCAAGCTAATCTCACCTTCTTGGTCATGGTAGCAGAAAAGAGAAATGTTCTCCGATCTCGTGGAATCACTTTGAGGATCTTGTCAACCTGAGGCACAGAAAGGAAAGAACTCCAGCATATTTCAACTAGATGTCTGCAAAACTCTGCACAGTGCAGGGGTGAGACCCAGAACCCACTGGAAAGGTTCAAAGTCCAACTCAAATTCAGCTAGAATTCACTGAGTTCTATTATTGAAAAAAAAAAGGCCAAAAATTAGTATTACTCAACTAACTACACAATGTCGAGTGGTTATCAAAGAAACTGAAGCCATTTCAAGGTGTTCAGAAGAGATTAAATCAAATGAAGCAGAAAAGAGACTGCGGGTTTAACATTTCTCAGCTCTGAAGTCAGAGTCAGGACCAAATTCTAAAGACAGGAAGTTCTGAGGCACTGACAGTATGAGCAGCACCCAGAGCAGAGACAGCAGACATACCGTAGCCCACTGAGGCTGGCACAGTGCTCCACAGAAAAAGCACATGACGAACCAGTTTGAAACAGGAGACCAGAGATGCTCTAAAGACATTGAAAACTCACTTCTGTCTCAAAATCCATGTTCAGTATTCGGTCTGCTTCATCCATGACTAAGTATTTGAGCGCTCTTAAGTTGAAGCCTTTGGTATTTTCCAAGTGGTCAATCAGTCGGCCAGGAGTGGCTACCAAGAAAGGTTGAGGAGAAAAGGCTCAAGGAAAAGAACATGATTCACTCCCCACAGAACAATAAAGAGATTCAGAAATTAAACAGGGTCACAATGTCTGCTCCCCAAATGTCTACCCAGCATTGGTAGATCTCTCCAATCTACCCTGTCACGGTGCCTTTTGCCTTTCTTAGTGACTCACCTATTACTATATGTGGTTTTTTGGCCAAGGCTAGAGATTGGGACATTGAATCAATTCCACCAACAATCACAGCTATAGAAACAAAAAGAACAGAGGAAAGAGATCATTAATCTTTTCCACAGACCACGGAACACCTTCCAAAGCCAACACTAGGTTTCTACCTACGTTTGTCCTTCCCCCAAAAGCTAAAAGGTAGCATTAGCTCTTTAGTCAGTAACTCATTCAATACTTTCTTTTATTATTTTTTGTAATTTATTTTGCATATGTGACTATTGTGTATTTTGTGTATGAGACTATTGCCTGCATCTATGTAGGTACACTCATGTCATGCAATGCCCACAGAGGTCAGAAGAGGGCGATGGGTCTCCTGAAACTGGAGTTAAGGACAGTCGTTAGCCACCACATGCTGAGAACTGAACCTGGGTCCTGTGCAAGAGCAGCCAGTGCTGTTAACTGCAGAGCCATCTTTCCAGCCCTAAATGTAATTAAACAAACGTACTCTCATCTAATACTTTCTCCCCATCTCCTTTCACCTGCTCCACTTCTGATGACAGTCCAGGGCTCTGTTCACCTTGACACTTACCACATTGCACTCCAATAGAGGACCCCAGCGCTTCGAACTGCTCAGAGATCTGAAAGGCCAACTCTCGAGTGGGGGTGAGAACCAGGGCAAACAACCGCTGGGGCGTCTCCAAAAGCGCATTCAGAATGGGCAAAGCAAAGGCACCTGTTTTTCCAGAGCCAGTTTCTGCCAGCCCAATAATATCACGACCTAGAAGGAAAATAAAGCTCCTAATACAAAGAAACACTTCTGTGCTCTTTCTACACCTTCTATAGTGACAGAGTGCTGGGCACAGAGTAGCCATGTTTAATGAACGAGGGAGAGAAAAGATTGAGTCAATGGAAAAGACAAGGTCCCTGTCCTAGTACAAAGACCAATGTTGAAACAAACACAATGTTTACCTTGAAGCTAATTTTTTTTCTTTCTTTATTTTATTTTATTTTTTTTTGGTCTTTTTGAGGCAGGGTTTCCCCGTAGCCCTGGCTGTCCTGGAACTCACTATGTAGACCAGGACAGCCTTGAACTCAAAAGAGACTGGCCTGCCTATGCCTCCTGAGTGCTGGGATTAAAGGTGTGCGCCACCACGCCAGGAGAAGCTAATTTTTTTTAAATGTTACTATATTTATTTAGTGTGTGTGTGTGCGCACACGAGGACAACTTTCAAGAGTAGGTTCTCTCTTTCTACACCAGTCCTGAGGATCAAACTCAGGTCGTCAGGCTTGGCAGCATTGTCTTTACCTGATGAGCCATCTTGTCAGGGCATGGTGGCGCACGCCTTTAATCCCAGCACTCAGGAGGCAGAGGCAGGCAGATCTCTGTAAGTTCAAGACCAACCTGGTAAACATAGCAGGTTCCAAACCAGCTATGCCTACAGCAAAACCCTGTCTTAAAACAAAAACAAAAAGAAAATACAAGAACAGAAAGGGGGGTGTAATCCACTACCCAGAAGAGCCTGCTAAGCAAGGTGATGAGTGATACCTGGAAGTGAGCAAAAGGTGGGAAGGCCTGCTGCTCTGGGAAAGGGGGTGGGGTTTCAAGGAACACAGCTGGACACAGAGGTATTATGGGGGAAAGGGAACGGAATGAGGCTACAAAGGAACTCGCCCCACTAGGTTTGGATACGCAGGGAATTTCATGACTGATGTTCTTCTTCATGAAGTTTATAAACCTGGATGAGCCAAGGAGCTTAAAGGCACATGCCACTGATACTGCTCATTCTCAGAGAATGTCGCAAGTAATTCCTTAAGAATAGGTCACCTCAGTTGTCAGCACCAGAATTTGAGAAATCAGCTCCCAAGCCAAGAGCACTATCTCTAGGCTGACCACAGTCCATGAGGCACCAAACACCTGCAATCCCAGCACTCAGGAAGCTGAGGCAGGAGGGTTAAGAGTTTGAGGCAAACCTGGGCTATATAAAGTGACCCTGTCCAATCAGTCAATTGATAAAACAACAACCAGCAGGAATATTTCCCACTGAACAAGGCCTAAGCAGCTACTGCTTGTGCTGTTCTATGATTAAACCTTCTGGGGAGGCAGCCATCTTGGAGATAATCCCACCATAAGCCCTTTCTCCCCAAGGCAACCTGAACACTATGTGACAGAGATTTTAATATGAGAAATTCAAAGGCCAAAAGCTGAGGTAAGAACTATAGAAAAATTAGTTCTGGGGAAGAAAATAATGATTTTGGTTTCAATACTGGGAAGGTTCCTCCAGTAAGTTTGAGGAAATATATAAAAGCTAACTGGACATACTTATGCATCAGGCCTTGAGTTCACCTTCCTAAAGAATAACATCACATGGGGCTGGAGAGATGGCTCAGTGGTTAAGAACACTGGCTGTTCTTGCAGAAGACCCGGGTTTGAATCCCAGCACCCACATGGCAGCTAACAACTGTCCTTAACTCCAGTTCCAGGGGATCCAACAGCCTCTTCTGTCTTCCGAGGACACTGCACAACACAGGTGCACTTACTTACATGCAGGCAATACACGCATACACATAAAATAAAAAGTTTAAAAAAATAACATCACAATATCCCCTGCTACCCTTCCTTCCTGGCCCCATTCCTCTCCTGCTCCTCATCCCTGTGCTCAGCCACATCCACTTCTCGCTCCTCCTCTGAGTGGAGCTACTTTCCCTAAAGCCCCAACCCATTCCTGAGAACAATGGATATCCAGGGCTCAGTAACTCTGCAGACATTGAGACCCTTAGTCCCAAACTAAAATCTAAAAGTTAACTTTTAACTTTTAGTTAAAGGTCTAGAGAGATGGCTCAGCAGTTAAGAGCACTGGCTGCTCTTTCAAAGGACCTGAGTTTGGTTCCCAGCACCCACAGGGTAGCTCACAACCATCTGTAGCTCCGATACCATGGAATCCAGGGTCCTCTTCTGGCCTCTACAGGCACTGCATGCATATGGATCACTTAACATACATTTAGGCAGAATATTCATACACATATATAAGGTTTTTAAAATTATTTTAAATAATACTAAAAAGTTAATTAAATCAGTCAAACAAACAAAACTGTGATTTTTGGCTTAGGCCAGAATCTATGGATTTAATGAAGCATTGCCAGGTACCCATGAGTTCAAGGACAAAGCACAAAGACATGTTCTACTCCATTCTTTTCTTTCTGGTGCTGCTGGAGCCCTGCTTTGCACATGCTACATGAACACTCTACCACCAAGGTACATCCCCAGCCCTACGGTGATGATTTCAATCACGTTACTCAGTTTCCAGGAACCTTCTACTGACTCTCTGCACCAAACTTACACTTTTGAGTGAAAACATTAGAATACTTTTAGAATTACTGGCACTACCTAATTGTCTTCCCACCCATGCCAGGCAACCCAGGGGCAGCTGACTACTGTGCTTCCTTCCACCACAGCCTTTCAGCTGTCCCTCTCTTCCTAAGTTGTCTGCGAGAGTTGGAAGCATTTATTTTCCCATCCTTGAACACCTGATTTTGAAACTGTAACCCATGACTTCCACCTCTACTGCACCTCCTGCTTCTCCTCTGTCATCTCTAGGCCTCAATGGCAGCCTCAGTCATTTTAAGTTTCTGCAATCACGTTTCTTCAGACACCAAGTCTATATTCAGTTCTAGCACCTCCATCGATTTCAGTCCCTAGGGTTCAACTGTGTCTATTTTATGTTTTCCCTAGGTTTATCAAGGAGAAATTGTCAAGAAAAAAAACTGTATGTACTTACAGTATACAGTATGATGTTTTGATACATGTACATATTATGAAATGACTAAATCAAATTAAATAATAGATCTATTATCTCACATACATTTTTGTGGTAAGACTATTCAAGATCTCTTAGCAATTTTCAGTCTAAAAATCATTATCAACTACTGTCACCATGCTGTATAACAGACCTCCAGAAT